CGCTGACATTAGCGGAGGTAATCCGTGTATTGTTTGTGCAGAGCGCATTTGTTCGCGCTGCCAGGCACTCGTAGCGGATTATCGCTGCCTGCACTGAAGACAAAGCGCGGGCTGTGCGCGCTCATTATGCACCTGTGCCCCATGAATGACCCGGCACAGGCGCTGCTGGCCCTTGCCACGTTGACTGACAGGGCACGGCCCTCGCTGCTTGAGAATAAAATCCGCAGTGCAGTGGCTACATGTGTTCATATTGGGTATCGTGTTATCAGAGCAGAGACAACATGGCTGAAGTTATATCCGGAGAGTGCAATTCTTCCAGTGAAAGCGAGTTTTATCTCAGTTCAGACGAAGGTTCTTCGTCTTCTTCATCTCCGCCGTCACCTGCTCAAGTACAGTCAAGTACAGAAATTGACAGTGATGTACCCTTGGCGGTATATGCCAAGCGCAAGAGACAGTCCCGTACACAGACCGCCACGTCGACCAGCAGCAGTGCCGCACCGTTCCGGTGGACAGTTGAAGACAGTACACCGCTAAAGTACGGCTTCACTGGTAAGGGTGGTGCCGTTGATCCCTGTCTGCATCGCAGCTCGACCTGCAGTGAAGCCTTTGAACTGTTTTTTGACGATGTTCTCTACAAGATAGTGCAAGAGACCAACTGGTATGACGTGCAGAGGCCCGCTACGACATCGGCGCACATGCGATCATGGACTGATCTGAACAGTAGAGAACTGAAGGCCTTTCTGGGCCTTTGTATAATGACGGGCATTGCGAAGCACCCCACCCTTCAAAGCGTCTGGTCCACCGACCCACTACTGAAGATGAGCCTATTCCCGTCCGTCATGCCCCGAGATCGCTTCCTTGCCATCCTGCAGTCCCTGCACTTCAACGATAACACGGCCATGCCGAAGGACTGCACCGACCGCCTCTTCAAAGTGTGCCCAGTTGTCGACCATCTTGCTCAGAAGTTTGCCACTGTCTACGTTCCTCAACTGGACATTTCCGTCGACGACTCCCTGTTGAAGTTTTAGGGGCGTCTCTGCTTCGCAACCTACAACCCCAGAAAGAGGGCCCGCTTCGGCATCAAGATGTACAAGTTGTGCCAGAGCACCGGGAGTGCCGCCAGGTACTGCTACAACTTCAAAATCTGCACCTGCCAAAGTAAAGGAGACCTCCCAGCAATTACACAAGTGGTGATGGACCTGGTGAACGACCTATGTGGCAAGGGCTACAACCTTGCCCTTGACTGGGCCTTCAGCAGTCCCAATTTGTTTCGACGACTTCACAACCAGAAGTTCAACGTCGTCGGCACNTGCTGACATTAGCGGAGGTAATCCGTGTATTGTTTGTGCAGAGCGCATTTGTTCGCGCTGCCAGGCGCTCGTAGCGGATTATCGCTGCCTGCACTGAAGACAAAGCGCGGGCTGTGCGCGCTCATTATGCACCTGTGCCCCATGAATGACCCGGCACAGGCGCTGCTGGGCCTTGCCACGTTGACTGACAGGGCACGGCCCTCGCTGCTTGAGAATAAAATCCGCCGTGCAGTGGCTACATGTGTTCATATTGGGTATCGTGTTATCAGAGCACAAACAACATGGCTGAAGTTATATCCGGAGAGTCCAGTTCTTCCAGTGAAAGTGAGTTTTATCTCAGTTCAGACGAAGGTTCTTTGTCTTCTTCATCTCCGCCGTCACCTGCTCAAGTACAGTCAAGTACAGAAATTGACAGTGATGTACCCTTGGCGGTATATGCCAAGCGCAAGAGATAGTCCTGTACACAGACCGCCACGTCGTCCAGCAGCAGTGCCGCACTGTTTCGGTGGACAGATGAAGACAGTACACCGCTAAAGTACGGCTTCACCGGTAAGGGTGGTGCCGTTGATCCCTGTCTGCATCGCAGCTCGACCTGCAGTGAAGCCTTTGAACCGTTTTTTGACGACGTTCTCTACAACAAGATAGTGCAAGAGACCAACTGATATGCCGTGCAGAGGCCCGCTACGACATCGGCGCACATGCGATCATGGACTGATCTGAACACTAGAGAACTGAAGGCCTTTCTGGGCCTTTGCATAATGACGGGCATTGCGAAGCACCCCACCCTTCAAAGCGTCTGGTCCACCGACCCACTACTGAAGATGAGCCTATTCCCGTCCGTCATGCCCTGAGATCGCTTCCTTGCCATCCTGCAGTCCTTGCACTTCAACGATAACACCGCCATGCCGGAGGACTGCACCGACCGCCTCTTCAAAGTGCGCCCAGTTGTCGACCATCTTGCTCAGAAGTTTGCCACTGTCTATGTTCCTCAACTGGACATTTCCGTCGACGACTCCCTGTTGAAGTTTTAGAGGCGTCTCTGCTTCGCAACCTACAACCCCAGAAAGAGGGCCCGCTTCGGCATCAAGATGTACAAGTTGTGCCAGAGCACCGGGAGTGCCGCCAGGTACTGCTACAACTTCAACATCTACACCAGCCAAAGTAAAGGAGACCTCCCAGCAATTACACAAGTGGTGATGGACCTGGTGAACGACCTAAGTGGCAAGGGCTACAACCTTGCCCTTGACTGGGTCTTCAGCAGTCCCGATTTGTTTTGACGACTTCACAACCAGAAGTTCAACGTCGTCGGCAC